TAGTTAAAATACTATGTTGTCATTAAAAGTTATGTACCTAGTTAAAATACTATTAATATAATTTCTCCTTCTTTAATTAAATACTCGATCTATTCAACAAAAAAAAATTTATTTTATATGGATAACACACTAGATTCTCTCTCTGGTGCTGAAAAAGCTAAAACGACAGCTTCTTGTTAAAACATGTATTATATTGGGATGTAAACGTAAGGCTTTCCTTAAGTTAGTAATTTAACATTCAATCACCTCTTTTTTGCCACAACTCGTGGCTTAAAGCAGAGAATAATAACATTAAAATTATGTTCGTTTGACTCTGTTATCGTTACACAATGAATATTTAAGGTAAATTCCTTATTTGGAAAATATTTTAAATTAGTTTCAAATGTAAGGATTGTATATCTAGTGATAGGATGTTCGATAATAAAACTTTAGTTACATAATGTCTGTCTGTCTGTCTGATAATCCAATTTAACTTCTTATACACCATCACTTCATCGAAACTATTAATAAAATAATATATTTTTCAGTAAGCCTGCTGCACTGTATTGGTGCGTTATTTAGAAATCATTCCTAAAATAAATATTGTGCTTAATTCAGTTAAAGTTTTTGTTATGTCTATTGCTTTCATAAAGTATAATTTCGCAGCTAGTTAGCATCAATATAATAATCCATTTCTTTTACTGTTTGTTTTTCACAGTTATTGAGTCCTGGTTTAACATCATTTGTGAAAGCAATAATGTAATGTAATGTTATCAGTCCGCTAAAGATGGCGTATTGAACACCCTGTATTGTTCATTGACATAAAGTATAATTTCGCAGCTGGTTAGCATCAATATAATAATCCATTTTTTGGTCTTTGTTTTTCACAGTTATTGAGTCCTGGTTTAACATCATTTGTGAAAGCAATAATGTAATATAATGTTATCAGTCCGCTAAAGATGGCGTATTGAACACCCTGTATTGTTCATTTTGAGTAAAGTAGATCAAGTTGGTGTAAAACAGGGTTGTAAGTTTAATTAAGGAAGAATTTAAGGTATTAATTAATAATTATAGAGATCAAAAGGCATGAAATTGCTCACAGTATACTATCTTGTTAACCTACAATACACGCTTTGTGTGTCTTTTGTATATACGCATTTGTTTTGTTGTTTTTTTCAGAATATAATTAAGCAATCTTTCTATGAGTTGCCTAAAACTTTTCATCAAGACATTGGTTGGCTTGATGAATACCAGTAAATAAGTAAGTGAGACTACATATACTTGTAAATGAATATATCCTAAACAACAAAATACTACGGTCCTACATGCCTCTTTAATTATAAACATTTGATCCCTCTGTATCGGTCATCCAGTCTACCTGTCCGTCTGTCAACATTACACAACTCCTGTACTATTTTAATCATGTATTATACTTTCTGTTTTGCAGAAGTCCCGAGGGAACGATTCGTTTTCCGAAACTTAACGAATGTGCCCATTTTCACTACGAACACGTAGAACTTGGTCCAATAACGGTAAGTACTTTTTTTTATTGACATCCGTTAGACATTACTTATAATAACACATGTCGGATGAAAATAATAGATTATGTATAACGTTGTGTGTCCGTAGGAAAATTTCGCTTTTAAAAAGTAACAGTATCGTCGGAACTAAACGGAATTGACAAAAATAAATTATAGTGATAAAGCCTCCACAATTAAAGCTTTGGTAGATTTACGTAAGGACTTCGGGATAATCAGATCAGAAGCCACAAAAAAATTCACTTTTATAAAGTTGCCATACATAGACAAAATATCCGCTACGTAATTAACTTATTAGGCAAATGATTGTTTTCTGGTATTCCTTTTCTACATGGTATGTGTGTAACATCGTGTTGCGTAAACAAGTCAGAATCCAGTATTAGTAATGGATTAACAACATGCACACTAGACCCAAGTATCCGACTGAACGCCCACATCTTCATTCTGACGTATTGTTGAAATGGCTAGCAGCAGTAACACTTCTCCATCATTAGAGATTTGTTAACAGTTTAAATAACCTCGAAGTGAAGCCTTCTTAGTAAATAGCCCTTGTTTTTACTCACCATTTTCAGAAGTTGAAATATGTTGTTATTCAAGAACATTCATATATCTAAATTAAAATATGTTGTTAATCAAGAACATTCATATATCTAAATTAAAATGTGTTCTTTTACACGAAACTCGTGTCGCCTTTTTTTTTTTCGTGTGTCTGTGAACATAAACTTTTCCAACCCCAACGAATCACAGTGTAAATTTAAATATTACTATAAAACTGAAAAAAATATTTTTTCACAGAGAATGTTATTTCAGCCCTCAGTTCATTGTGTATTTAATGAACCGAACCCCATTTTGCCGTATAATATGTAGATTTACTTAAGAACATTGGGGCCGTCTGGTGGCTCAGCGATAGCTTTTGAGGGCTTATAACGTTAAAAATCGGGTTTCAGTACCTGCTATAGGCACAGTGCAAACAGCCCATGTGTAGTTTTGTGCTTAATGAATAAAAAAAAAACAAAAAGCCACAAGAGATGAAGCCGCAGACAACTGTGGATAAAGTAACGTTTATAAAGCCGCTATAGATAGATAAAATATCATTGAAATACATATGAAACACCTGTGTATATTTTTCATAATTTTTATGTCCGTAAATTCCGTGATTAGTCTGTGGAATTGTTTAATAAAACTAAAAACTTAATATAAAATTAATGCGAGGTTTTAAAAAATAATAATAATAACTGAAAAAATAGAGATATATGTAAAAACACGTTAAAATAAATAAATAGACATAAAGTTAAAACTTCGTCTACGACGTACACACTGAACAGAACATATGACAGTATATAATTTCTGAAATATTAACGTTCTCTTGAAACGCCCTCTACTAAATAAATATGAGTTACACTCCATTTAAGGAAGCTTTGTAACAGTATTTGCTTAGACTGAGTGTATTACTTTAAAGAACTTTAAGTTATAAGATGGCGTACAGGAAATTTAACGTGGTTCGTCATGACGGTTATGAAGTAAAGTGATTGTAGATCAAACACGTACATATATATATATATATATATATATCATAAAATACTGGTGATACATATTTGACACAGCAAATAAAACAGTTGAAAGGTTTTATATTCACATTGTGCATGTTTAAAATACAAGATACTCACTTCTAAAGGAGTGATATTCTTAAATATTCACAGTAAGTAACCAGTCTCTCTAAAAATCTTAGTATTGTTCTCGTAACATAACTGGTTTGGATGAAGGGAATTTTAATTGTTTTCAGACATGTCTGTGAAACAAAAAGATTATTTTTTTCTTTGTAGTAACAGTTGAATAGATAATGACCTATTGTACATAAACAATTATGTACCGATGTTTTTATTTTAAATTATGTTGTTCTCTTATTTGCTTTTCTTGCCAACCAGATCAGTGCGTATAAAACAGAATGTATTACTGCATTTCTTTGTGTTCGCCACGACAGTGTAAAAGTAAAATATCAAATAACTGAGGGTTTTTGTTGTTGTTGTTAAGTTGGCTTTCTGTTCCGCTATCGGAACCCTTTCATATGTCGGAACTTCTAAGGCCAAAGTGTTTTCATATCAATATTACCGAAGCTCTTGTAGCATAGACGATAAAACTACCTTTACAAAAAGTATTTTAATAATTATTTCTTGATAACTGGTACAGCTAAGTAGAAAATCAAAACTTAAATTTCGCGAAACATTTCAATCATTTTTTTTCACTGCTGCCGAATTATTTCAAAATCTTTAAACCATCAAAGCACACCTAAGATCCTCGTATATCGTAGCCATCTAGCACCTTCCTCTGAACCCATACAGAATATCACAGTCATGTAGCACCTTCCTCTGAACCCGTACATAATATGAGTCATCTAGCACCTTCCTCTGAACCCGTACATACCACAGTCATCTAGCACCTTCCTCTGAACCCATACGGAATATGAGTCATCTACCACCTTCCTCTGAACCCCTACAGACTCAGTCATCTAGCACCTTCCTCTGAACCCATACAGAATATCACAGTCATATAGCACCTTCCTCTGAACCCGTACATAATATGAGTCATCTACCACCTTCCTCTGAACATGTACATACCACAGTCATCTCCCACCTTCCTCTGAACATGTACATACCACAGTCATCTCCCACCTTCCTCTGAACACGTACAGGATATCAGTCATCTACCACC